TTTCCTAACAACCGATGATATAAGTGGGATCTTGGAGCAGAGTCCCTGCCTCTGCTTGCATTTTCTGAGTAGTGGATCCAAGGGAGAAGAAACTGGGCGCGTACTCATGCAGTCAAATTCAGACAAGAGATCTAAGGTAAATCGCCTTTGAGTCAATATTATTCCATGCGCTTCCCTTATAATCTCAAATCCCAAAAAATAATATGCATCCCCTAGGTCCTTAATTTTAAATTCAGAGTGAAGGAAAGATTTGAGGTCTGCCTGCTCAGTAGAGTAATTCCCTGTGATTAAAATATCATCAACGTAAACTGCAACTATGGTAATCCTTCCTGCTGATTGTTTAAAAAACAAAGAATAATCATTTAAAGAACCTTTAAAACTTAGGGTTGCAGTGAGCCTTGATGCCACTGCCTTGAGGCTTGCCGCAGTCCATATAGTGATTTTTTCAAAAGGAAGATATGATTGGGTGAACGTGGTGTTGTCCCTGCTGGGAATTTCATAAACACTTCTTCCTGCAAATTCCTGTGCAGGAAGGCATTGTTCACATCTAGTTGTGACACCTCCATCCCCTTTTCACTACAATAGCAAGTAAGCATCTAATTGTTGTCATTTTTACAACTGGGAAAAAGTCTCAGTAGAGTCTATCCCTTCTCTTTGAGTGTCTCCCCTGTAACCAAATGAGTTTTGAATCTTTCCAAAGATCCATCAGACTTGTATTTGACTTTGTAGACTCACTTGCAAGGAAGAGCCTTCTTTCCACTAGGTAAAGGCACAACCTCCCAGGTTTTGTTCAGTTCTAGAGCTTCCAATTCTTTTTCCATTGCTTCTTGCCATCCTGGGTGTAATGCTGACTGTGAGTAAGAAGTAGGTTCAACAAGGTAGGAGGTGGAATTAAGCATAGGCTTACTGATAGGAGAAAGAGCTGTGAAGGGTAGAACAATGGGCTGGATTGGTGCAGTGAAGCAAGAGTTTGTGAGGTCTGGGAGAAAGACTGAGTTGCACACGTAATCCTGGAGATATGAGGGTGGATTATGTGTTCTAGTGGATTTCCTAACTTTAGGAAGAGATATAGGTAAGGTTGAATGAGACAATGTTCTAGGTTGGGAAGTAGAACTTGTACCTGAGGTTGAAGGAAGAGTGCTAGAGTTGCTTGGGTTTGAGAAAATAGGCAGTAAAGGTGAAGGTGAGTTGGGAATGTCAGGCTCATCCTCTATGTGTTCTGATGATAAGTCTACACTATGTTCTAGGGGTGAGGTAACAGGGAAAAAAGAATCTGTATGTGTAGTAGTAGAGGCAAAAGGGTACTGATTTTCATAGAAGTACACATCTCTGGATACACTCACTCTTCTTGTATCCAACTCTAGAACTTTATAACCCTTCTGCCCCAAGGAATAACCTAAGAACACACAGGGATTTGCCTTTGGGTCAAACCTACCTCTTCCACTAGTCAAAGTAGATTCATAGCAAAGACAACCAAAAACACTTCAAGAGTTCATAAGAGAGTTTCTGCTTGAATAGAACAAAATAATGTGTCCTTCCTTTAAGCACTCTAGAGGGTAACCTATTGATCAAATGGGTTGCAGTTAGTACACATTCTCCTTGATAAGGAAAAGGAATCTTAGACTAAAACAACAAAGCCCTTGAAATTTCCAAGAGATTTCTGTGCTTCCTCTCAACCACTCCATTCTGTTGAGGGGTTCCCACACATGATGTTTGATGTAGTATTCCTTGAGAGGCTAAAAATGCTGCCTCCTGAGTACCTTTCCCAAGTTCAAAAGCATTATCTGTTCTTATCTTTTGTACCTTTACACCAAACTGTCTTTCCACCATCGTGAAGAAATTTTTAAGGAGTCCAAAAGCATGCTTTTGGTGCTCATAAGGAAAGTCCAAACTGCCCTACTATAATCATCTACAACTATCAAGAAATATTTAAAACCATTGTAAGTTGGCTCCTTGTAGGGCCCCAAACATCTACATGGATTAACTTAAATGCCCTTGTTGATTTAATTTGACTTAAAGAAAAAAGAGTTCTGGTTTGCCTAGCTTTAGGACAAATTTGACAGAAACAATTAGAGTTAGAAGGCAAAGAAATAAAACTGAGATGTTTCATTGATGAAAAGGGCAAATGCCCTAACCTAATGTGCCAAAGGCTTACATCTGAAACTGAGCTAGTAGAAAAAGGAAATGAAACTAACAATTTACTAAAGACATTTTGATTTAAAACTGAAACTGGTTCCACACTTGTGCTATTTCTGACTCCACTTGGTTCCAAAAGGTAGAGTCCTTCCCTTGCCTTACCAAAAACTTGTGCCCTCTTCACTAAAGGCCCTTGCAACATACAATTACCAAAGCTAAAAAAAGAGAATAGAATGAAATTATAGACAAAACTTGTTAATAGATAATAGATTGTATCTGAACCTAGGTACATGTAATATATTTTCCAAAACGAAATCAGGCAGAATAGATATTTTTCCTATGTGAGTGACAGTGACCTTGAAAGAATTAGGCAGATTTATGTCTAAGGGAATTGGAAGGGCTGTCAAGGAAATAAAGGCATTTGAGTCAAAACACATGTGTTCAGATGTTCCAAAATCAGTAATCCATGTATTAGAATTAAAAACTAAAAGACAAGTTCCAGAATATCTAGTAATAGTACCAGCAATAACATTAACATTGATATCTGGAATTTCCTGAATATGCACCCTTAACCTGCTTGATTAATTGTACCAACTGTAAAAAATGATCCCGTGTGAGGTGCTGATTGAGTACTTCATTCTGATTGCTGCTGTTCTGATCTGTTTCCTCAATTTGAAATGCTTCATTGCATCTGGTCTGAACTTGATTTCCTTTGTGAATTCAAAGTCTTCTGGGAAACCTATAATTCTGTAGCAATCACTAACAGTGTGACCTAGTTTCTTGCAATGACTGCATGTTACATTACGGTTAAACTTAATTTTCTTTCCCTTGAATGTTGTGTTCCTTTGAGTAGAGTTAGTCCCTTTTTGGATGTTGTTCCCAAACTTTTGATATTGCACAAGGTTCCTTTGCATCTGCCTTGAACCCCTTTGTGCAAAGTTGTTTTGATTTGTGACCATAAAAGATGATGAATCTGGAGAAATGAGTGGGTGAGCAAAAATTTCTTTCTGGCTTTCATCTTGCAACACCAGGTAATATGCATGGTAGGGGATTCATCATCAGGATGGTTCCCTTTCCTTGACCATAACTATCATTTAAACCCATAAGAAACTGAATAAGCCTTTCATCATCTAGCGATTTTTTCAATTTTTGCTTCCCTTCACATACACACAAGCAACTGCACTTCACGTCATAGTTAAGTGAATCCAATTCATCCCATAAACATTTGAGTTTTGTAAAGTAGCTTGCTATGTCACTAGTTTCCTGTACTAACCCTGATAATTCCTTCCTCAGGTGATAAAGCTTAGCTCCTTTTGACTGACGAAATCTATGTTCAAGGCTGGTCCAGAGATCTTTAGCAGATTTAGAGTAAATGACACTGTCTCCTATGCCTTTGGACAGTGAATTGAGCAACCAGGATGTTACCATGTCATTACACCTGCTCCAAGGCTGATAGTCTCTGGAAGTCAGAGCTAGAGCAGGGCAAGCACCATTGATGAATCCTATTTTATTTTTAGCAGATAGTGCTATAAGAACAGACCTTCTCATCTTTGGAATCCTCTTCCATTAAAACTGTGTTGACAAGAGACATTCCTGGTGCATCAGAAGAATGAAGAAAGTATGCATGGTTTGAGTCGATGGTGGGGAGTCCTCCAAGTGGTGGTCTGACCCATTGTGGTTTCAGTGTTATCAGGCATTGTTTAGGATTGATATGAAGATGAGGAAGACGACTGATGGATCGAGCTTTCACGGCTCTGATACCATGAAGAAATATTGAAAAGAAGATAGTGATAGAAAATTTCTGTGTATTTTATTCCCTTCCTTTACATGTATTTATAAATAAAAGAATAAAAAACTATTACTCTATTCTATACGTGTACTATTCTTATTCGTGGGCTTGTAACTATCTATCTATTGTGTATAAAAAATAAAAGCTAATATATACAGTGTCACATGCTCACATGCACCAAAGGAATCCTCTAGAAACAGTATCCAAAGTGGACAATTGTCCCAGATTAATGGTGCTGATTAAATGAGGCTGTATCTAATACATGGCCTTGATCTTTAGTTTTGCTATGTGTTGAACGGTTCAAATGCTTTGTATCAAAAGAGGTTCTTCTTTCCTTGTCTCTTCTTCTTCATCTAAAACTTTCTCAGCGATGGCGTCTTGTATCAAACAAATAGCTCCAACATTATGTGACAAGTGCAGATTTATCCTCCGTTTAAGAAAATCTACGATTTAATTGAGGGACACACGACATTACAGGTGCTAAGCTTTTGCTGTCCTGAAATAAGAACAAATATAACTCATTTTGGTAATGGCCTATTTCGCATAGTTCAGGGATAAATTTAACTCTATAGCATTGATAACTTTAATTCCGACATTTGACTTGTTAAAACTATTGAAATTTGTCTCAAATTATTGAACCATCTCTCAATGAATACTGTAAGATAATTGAATAATTTACAAAAAAGAATAATAAGTCTGGGCAAGCAAACTACTCTGAAAGCACAATGTCCTTAATATTTGTTTCAAGCTGGTGTTTCACATCCAAAATTCTGTTTTATCTTTTATTGTTGCATTAATTGCGTCATATAATTTTTCTTTATTAAGTATTCTCTCATTATTGTCCTAACATTGGCTTTACCTCGAAAATTCGAGTAACAATTAAATTTGATTTGTGGTTTTAAAGATACATGATTTAGTTCAATACCAATTAATAATCAAGAAGTATGAAGTAGAAATGAAAGAGAAAAATGAATCAAACCAATGTTACTCAACAGCAATGACCTCGAGCTCAGTGACCTCGAGTAGGCTTGGAATAATAAGAACAATTAAATGATGAAAGTAGAGTAAGAACAATATAGCTAAAGGAAAATGTTGATGAACAGTGGGCGAAAAAGGTAGAGAGTATATTCTTTGCACGATGATAAGATGATGTTACAAATGATTGTGGTCCCTTTTATATAATAGGGGAACCCTAAATAAGGGATATTTCTATTTACAGTAGGGAATATTCATGATACAGCTGTCTAACCGACTAGTACGGAATCGTACAATCTTATTCTGGGATTTGCGCCACGATTATGGAGACGTGGCAGGAATCTAGCTCATTCTGTTATGAATTCCTAACGGTACTATTTCGGGGTCGAGTATACTCGGGCCCGGTATTCCTCGTACTCCTATCTCCAGGCATTGCACTCTGTCTTCGCTTGATTTTGGTCCACTGGTCTCGAACTCGACCTCACCCAAACTCGGGCCTATGACGGACCTTCGAGCCTATAAATCGGAGGCATATGATTTTGACAGTATACAGATAGTCCCCGCGTTTCTTAGAATAAGATGATAAGAAACGATTTGCACCTCAATTTTCCCGAGCTTCTAATGATGACGTCATGCCCGTGATGTAGGTGCTTGAAGTGATCAGAAATGTCACGCCCCAACCTCGGGAGGCGCGACCGGCGCCCAATCGAGTGAACCCAACTGAGCAAGCCTTATCAATCACTTTCTACCCAACTCAATGTGATTAAGGGATCCGGTTCCCATTTAATTAGACAATAAGAGGGGTTGTACATTCAACATTGATAGTTCATTTTATTACACAACCTTAAACTGTAGTTAGATTTCCAAGATTTCATACAGTTATAGTTTAGAAGAAAGCAAGAGTTTATAATTACAACATAGTTCACGGACCCGTCCAACGCCCGTACATAACCCACACAAACGTCTACGGAGCCTCTAAGGATACAAAAGACAATGATAACAAAGCTGGCAACAAGGCCCCGGCTATACCTCAAAAGTGAATATCTATAACAAAAGATGTACAACATAACCCTGGAAGGAAAAAGGGGCTCACCAAGACTTTGAGAGGAGGATGCTCCGCTACGCGCGATCAGCACTATCTGCTATGGAGCCACCTACATTCATTAAAAAATGTAGCGCCCCCGTCAAAAGGGGCGTTAGTACCATGGAATAGTACTAGTATGTATAACTAAAGGCCATCCTGTTAGAAAGAACGACCATATAAGAGTAAAGAGGAAATCATAAAGACAACAAAGTTTCAAATAAGTACCATATCAACAACATAAGAGGTTCACATAGTTTTCACAAAGTTTCTGAGATTTTAGATTAGGGCATCCCATAGTATTGCATCATTATCCACATTACCACCGCTTCCTTGAGCTGAGTCCGATCACGGCCCGATCGGCTAAGCCGTCTCCCCGAGACGTTACCATTATTTCATTCTCACTTTCCAGTTTCAATAATCAATACATTACCACCATGTGTGTATAACATGGCGTCCGATCACGGCCCGATCGGCTAAGCCATCTCCCCGAGACGTTACCATTTTCCGTTAATCATCTCACTCCAATCTTGGTCACACATGTATTAGTTCGTCGGCACTTGGGGCCACAATTTCCACATTCCATAACTCACGTTTCACGTTGTTCCCATTTTCAACATTTACTTTGCCACTTAAGACCATAGACACGCACAAAAGCAACTTAAGTCATAAGCATAAAGAGGAATTCATCTAGTTTGGCATATTAGTCCCAAAGTAACCTTGGCATGACATTTAGGCATTTAGCACATAGATCATGTTCTCCACACATCCTCTATTTACAAAGAAAACACCTTAAACACATGAAGAAGTACCTTCCACATACATTTTCACAACATCAATTCGTTTAACATAACAAGTACTGCATCAATCAAGTTTCGAACTTACAACATTTGCACTGGCACCATGGAAGCTCAATTTCTAAGAGGGGGGGTTTTTAGCCATACATACCTCAATTGAGCTTTCCTTAAACCTTTATAATAAATTCCGGGGCTCTTAGCACTTCAATCTATTTTATAAGAATTGCAAATTGAACCAAGAATTAGAGACATGATTAGGATTCTAGCTCATTTGAGCATATTACCAAGCACTAAGTGTCCACAGTGATTCTAGGACCCTTTTGTGAGGGATTTTCGTTATCCTATACCACAATTGCTATCCTTTTGGTTCACAACCTCCCCATACCCCATTATCTTTTATGCATGCAAGATTATCAGCCCTTATACCCATGAACCCACTTGCTAATCACTTAATTTAATAGAAATTTCGAAATTATAGATGAGGGTACAAGTTCTTACCTTTTAGGGTGAAGACCTAGCAATTTCACTTGACAATCTTCAGGGATTTTGGGGCAAGGGTTGAGTGGGGACTTGATGAAGATCACTCCCTTTCTCTCTAGAACTTCCCCTCTCACTCTATATGCAGTGAAATAATAGAAAAATGGCCTAACGGGGTGTTTTTAATGGAATGGGGTCGGGTTTTAAAAATTAGAAAATAGGAGCCCCGACACGATCTGTGATCGCATACCTGACATGCGGCCCGCAAAATGGACCGCAAAAATGGTCCCAAAACCTGAACACACTGTCTGGGTATGCGACAGAAATGCGGTGCGCACACCTATTCTGCGGTCGCATAATGCGCCGCAGAACTGCCCTTCGCAAAATTCCAAGGGGATTATGTGATGACTATGCGGCCCGCATATTGGTTATGCGATCGCATAAGTGGCCACATAGTTGACTTCAAAATTGACCAACACACTGCTTCACTCTGCGGCGACTATGCGGTCCGCATAGCTATTATGCGACCACATACTGGACCGCAGAATTGCACTTTTTTGGAAAACATTATTCCTTGACTTTTTAATGCATAGATCAGTCTAAAGGTCCGAATTCAAATTTCTAACACGTATTCCTAACTTGGCACTACGAGCTCTCGGGTTTTGAGTAGAAATTTTCACGGGGCCTTACATCCTCCCCCACTTAGGATCATTCATCCTCGAATGAGGGTCAAGGTTCACTCAATAACAATCTTTATGCAATCTCAACTTTTCACAATCATGGCACACCTCAACAACTCCGAATTTGGTTAACTCCCTAAATTTCTAAAAATTTCACCAGAGTTTCCTTTGTATCTACGCCTATCCACCTGTCAGAGAGCCCCAGAAACATATCCTAACTGCACATACATATTCCACTAACACAACATAACCTGTACAATACTAACCATGGCCGCATATGCAATCATATAACCAAAACGAAACAGAACAGTTTTACATAGATCAAATCAAGGATACAGAGTTCATAGGGACCAAATGGATGAAAGCTATTACATGACTATACAAACAAATGTGGGTACTTCCTTCTCATTTCTTCCTCAGCTTCCCAAGTGGCTTCCTCAACCTGCTGGTTTCACCATAACACCTTTACGGAGGCAATTTCCTTATTCCTCAATTTCCGGACCTGCCTGTCAAGAATGGCAACTGGAACTTCTTCATAGGACAGTTCTTCATTGACCTCAATAGTTTCAACTGGCACGATAGTGGACGTATCTCCCACTACTTTCTTCAACATAGACACATGAAAGACTGGGTGTACCAATGACATCTCGAGTGGCAACTCAAGCTTGTATGCCACCTGACCAATCTGCTGGATGATTCTGTACGGTCCGACATATCTAGGGCTCAATTTTCCTTTCTTCCCAAACCACATGACACCCTTCATGGGGGAAACCTTCAGAAATACCCAATCATCTTCCTTAAACTCCAAATCTCTGCGACGAACGTCCGAATAAGACTTTTGGCGACTCTGAGCAGTTTTCAACCTTTCCTTAATAATTTTGACCTTCTCCATGGCTTGGTGCACAAGGTCTGGCCCTACCAATTCAGCTTCTCCAACGTCGAACCACCCAATGGGAAACCTACATCTCCTACCATACAATGCCTCAAATGGTGCCATCTGGATACTAGCGTGGAAGCTGTTGTTATAAGCAAACTCTATGAGTGGCAAATGATCATCCCAGCTACCTTTAAAATCAAGAGCACAAGCACGCAACATTTCCTCAAGCGTCTGAATAGTCCGCTCTGCTTGCCCGTCAATCTGGGGGTGAAAAACTATGCTAAGATTTACCTGCGTGCCCAAACCTTGCTGAAATTTCTTCCAAAAGTTGGTCGTGAACTGAGCCCCTCGATCTGAAATGATTGAGACTGGAGTGCCATGCAGCCTG